GCGACTTAATAGTCGTACGGGATGGACCAAGTCACAATCCCCAACGGTGCACGACCGCACGCTCGTCATCTAGCGTGTGCGTCACCTCAATGTAGCAAAATGATGTGAGGGTTTCATACCCTCAGAACAGTAATTACAATCATTACTTACCTCTATCCGGTCCAAACTCTAGCCCGCGATGCCTTTGCCTCTCGAATCGGCCTCCGGATGCTCCAAATCTATCCAAAACAGGTTTATACCATCAAAATATGCTAAGGGAACAAAGCCCACTCGAAAATATCCAATTTATACCAAAAATCTCGAAATTGGCCAAACCCGGCCCCCGGGCCCACATCTCGGAATCTGATAAAATTACACCAATAGAATCCTTACACTCTTACGAGTTCGTACATACCAAGAACATCAAAATCGGACGACAAATGGCCCCTCAAATCCCCAAAAGAAATTCCAAAACTTTTCCTCCATTTTTCCCCAATTTCCACTCTAATTTCTCAACTTAAATGATGAAATTCAAGACTAAACCATGAAATTAAACCAAATATGCGTAAAGAATACTTACCCATTGCTCCACTGAAAATCTCCTCAAATTTTACCTTCTCCCGAGCTCTCTAATGGTTTTTGTGATATTGGACTTAAACCCTCGATTTTTTAAACATAATCTGACTGCCCAGTTATTACTTCTATGCCAACGCGGCGGACCCCTCGCGTTCGCGTAAGCTAAACTCGCCTGCCTCCAAAAATGCCCTCCGCGAACGCGTCCACAACTTCGCGAACGCAAAGCTTCACCAACCCGCTCCTTCGCCAACGCGCCACATGACATGCGAACGCATAGACCAAAGGGACCTGGGGTCCCCAGTTGCCACTACCTTTCGCGAACGCAGCCCATTGACCGCGAACGCATAGAACAAATTCCTCAACTTCCCCATTTACTCTTCGCGAACACGGGACTCCACCGCGAACGCGATGAACAATAAGTTTCTGCAACAACACCAGAAAATCTGCCAAGTCCAAAGTCCAAAAATTGGTCCGTTTAACCACCCGAAACTCAGCCGAGGCCCTCGGGACCTCAAACAATCATGCCAACATATCCCATAACATCATTCAAACTTGTTCCAACCTTCGGAACGCTCAAAACAACATCAAAACACCAAAATTGCATCGGATTCAAGCCTAAGAATTCTAAAAACTCCCAAATTTCGATCAAAAAGTCTATCAAACCACGTCCGAATGACCTGAAATTTTGCACACACATTCCAAATGACACAACGGACCTACTGCAACTTCAGGAATTCCATTCCAACCCCTATATCAAAATCTCACCTATCAACCGCAAGACGCCAAATTTTCAATTTCGCCAATTCAAGCCTAAACCTTCCACGGACCTCCAAAATGCATTCTGATCACGCTCCTAAGTCCCAAATCACCTAACGGAGCTAACCAACTCATAAAAATTCTAATTCGAGATCATATGCTAACAAGTCAAAACTTGGTCAACCTTTCAAATTTTAAGCTTCAAACTGAGAACTGTTCTTCCAAATTTATTCCAATTATCCTGAAAACCAAAACCGATAATTTACATAAGTCACAATACATAATACGAGGCTATTCATGCTCGAGAACTAGCGAGCGAAGTGCAAAAGCTCAAAACGACCGGTCGGATCGTTACAGGTGGAGTGACATTTATATCAGACATGCAAAAGGTACCAAGTTTCACTTCTGTTTCTTCTGATTTTCTTCTGTTTTCACTTTTGTTTTTTCTTTTTGTCAATGCCTTCTGATTTCTTTAGCTTTTGATGCCATCATAAGGTTTATTGGATGCTGTGAGCATTGTACTACCTGATGCTCATCACAGGTATTGTGTTAGACACATCGAAGCCAACTGGTTAAAAAAATGGAGGAGTGGGGAAATGAGGAAGTTGATGTGGTGGTGTGCTTGGAGTACTTATGAAGAAGAGTTTAAAGATCAATTGTTGAAGCTTGGGGGATGCCAAAGGATGTTGCAAGGGACTTGATCAACTATCCACCAAAAGCATGGTGTAGAGCCTATTTTGATACATAGTGTATAAATCTAATGGTGGATAACAACTTTACTGAGTCCTTTAATGCATGGATTTCAGATGTTAGACATATGCCAATTATCAAGATGTTGGAGGCAATAAGGATCAAGGTAATGGAAAGGCTTGCAGATTATGAAGACAAAGCTATGAGCTGGAATGCCAATTTCAGTCCACCATGTATGAAATTATACAATGACTATAGGGCAATATCACATGCTTGCACTTTGAACTTTAATGCAGACTATGCCTTTGAAATCACAGAAGGTAAAGACAAACATACTGTGGATCTTGAGAAGATTAGATGTACCTGTAGGTTATGGGATTTATCTAGGATACCTTGTCCCCGTGCTATTAAGGCATTGATGCATGAGAAGATTGAACCAGTGACACAAATACACTGGTGGTATAGTAAGGAGGCTTATTAGCTAACATACAAGTACAAAATTCAGCCTGTTAGAGGGGTACAATTCTGGAAAATTCTGCCTAGTCAGGCCATGGTGCCACCTGAAATTTTCAAGATGGTTGGAAGACCCAAAGTAAAGAGGAATAGGGCTGCTGATGAAGCTTTGAAGTGGAAAGGTGAGTGGAGTAGTTCAAAGGAAAGGATTATAATGATATGCAGTAAGTGTGGTGATGAAAATCATAATGTAAGAGGATGTTACAAGGTAAATATATATATATATATATATATATATATATATATATATATATATATATATATATATATATATTTCTTGTTGTTTATGAAATACTAATAATTTTTGCAGATTATGTACTAACTATTGTCTTTGTTGGCAGGTAGTGGTGCTAGACTTTGTTCAAAAAAGAGGAAAGACTTGGACAATACCCCCACAGTGACATCTTTAGAAGATGAAACACAAGAGCTTGGGCAGAGTTCAATGTTTAGTGAAGCATTCTTTGAAACTGAATGGAACACAACAGTCACAATAGTCAGTCTTTATCACTCAAGCTGGAACACAAGAGTACAACAGTTATGGACCTGATATTGGAGATGATAAAGATCCAACAATTAGGCTGATGGTTATATCTGAGACTGACATAAAACTAGCCATGAGGAAGGTACAAATGAATCCAACTGGTACAAGAAGGATGCAAGTTACTATAGATGAAACAGGTGCAGCAACACCAACAAACCTGCCTTATTCACCAACAAAGGCTACTTGGAATGGAAAACCAACAATTAGTTCAAGCCAGCTTCAAGCACAAGTTAGAAAAAAGAAGTACAAGATGAAAGCAAGGAAAGGCCATGGAGAACCAGTAGATGATTAAAGTTACTGTTGTTGAAGCATAAGCTACTGTTGAAAGCTACTTTTGGTTAAGTTTTTGTAACGTTCAATTATGCAGCTAGACTGTTGAAAACTACTCTTTTTGTAATGTTCAATTATGCAGCTAGATTGTTGTTCAATTAAACTACTGTGGGTTAGTATTATGTATTTTGAATACAGTTGATGCGAGACATCAGTTTGGTTTAACTTCTATTTCTGCATGAGCAGTTTGGTTTAGCTATGATCAATTAAGATCAATTTTGGTTAGCTTCTATTTCTGTATGAACACTTTGGTTTAGCTATGATCAATTAAGATTAGTTTGGGTTAGCTATGATCAATTAAGATCATTTTGGTTTAGTTATGATTAGTTAAGATCAACTTGGTTATATGTTCTTAACTTGGTTATATGTTCATATTGGACTATTCAAAACATGGACTATTACTGGAGATAACTTCAAAACATGGACTATTACTAACAAAGCAATGCTCATAACATGGACTATTATTAATTAACAAAGACTGGAGACAAGTTCAAAACATGGACTATTACATGAAGTTAGAATTACATAGCACAAACATATACCTAACAAAAGGCCAAACTATAGAATTCTAAGCAATGATCATTTCATGGATCTTTTCGTAGCCCATGCTGCTATGAACGCAATAAGGCACATCAACAAAATTAACTGTCGGAATACTTTTCCCCTCAACTCCACAATCTTCGAGTTATCCTCAACAGCAGACGCTTCAAGTGCATCCAATCTTTCCATCAACTCTGTTATCGTCTCAGCATCAATAACAATAGAAGCTTCAAAATAAGCTATCTTCTTCATCAACCTATTTCTTTCAATTTCAAAATCTTCCAATTTTCTCCTTTGACTGTTAATGACGATTACAGCTCGCGGGAGAAATTCAACATCGTCCCCATTCCCAATACCCACAGCCTTGTTTCTGCCAAATAATTGCACAATAAAATCACCGATTATGTTCCAATAAAATATTACACCATAAAAAATAGAATGCATTATGTAAATTATACTTACTTCAGGCAATGGACACTTGTAAAAACGTCTCCCACAATCCATAGGAGTCGTCGCCGTAAAATGATGCGCTACAAATCCACAATGAGACTTCCTCTTTGAGTCAATTGAGCCGCTTGACCCAACACACATTTTGAACTCTTTAACAAGAAAAAGTTACTATGAAGATGAATCGTAATTGAACAATAGACCTAAACCCTATTAAGAATTTCAGAATGATAATGGAGAAATTGAATTTAATGGTGGATAGAGGGTTGCTGATTTGGGGGAGGTGTTTATTGAGCTAGGGTTTAGATTTGGGCTAAAAAAAGGGTTTGTTTTATCGGGTTGGGAATGGGTATTAAACATAACTAGGGTTAAAATAAAGTAGGGTAGGGTAAAGACGGACCAATAATATACAGACACGTGGAAAAGTGAGATCTAAAAATTAATTCTAATTATTTAAAAAAGTTGAAGTTTGGTAATAAATGGCATAAATAGGCCAAAAGTATAACGGTAGTGGCATGGAAATAGCGACCTTTTAACGGATGGCATCAATAGGCCATTTCTGTGAGTTGAGTGACATTTTTAGGCCTTTTCCGATATCTAAATGAATGAATTGGAAAAACTAAGCTTTTAGAGGTGTCGAAGTATCAAATAGAGAAAGGAAGGGGTACAAAGTGCTAAAACTGAACTAGACGAGGGGTAAAAGACAAATATGATTTCTGTGTGAGAAGTTCGGGGAAGCTCTTCTGCTACTGGGAACTGGGTAGCCAAGGGTTTTGCCAGAAGCCATGGAAGCAGCAAAACGCAAGCGAAAATCTGCCGAATATGAAGATGATGAATATGAAACCTTCAGACCGCCGCCTCCATCCTCCACCGCGACAAACGGCGGCATCGACCTTTCACTACTCGAAGCCCTAGAAAAATCTCAACAAAACCCCGTGGAAGCTCTCGATCTCAAAACAGTGAAAAAACTCGTCCTTTCATTCGAACGCCGTCTTAAGGAAAACATTGCTGCCCGTCTCAAATACCCGGACCAACCCGAGAAGTTCGCGGATTCCGAAGTCGAGCTCCATGAAGAAATCGAAAAGCTTAAAATCGTCGCCGGAGGCCCAGAGTTTTACCCGGAACTTGTCAATCTCGGCACCGTTGCTTCAATCACCAGTCTGCTCAATCACGAAAACACAGATATTGCTATTGACGTTGTCGGCTTATTACAAGACCTAACTGACGAGGATGTTCTCGAGGACAACGACGAGCCGGCGCAAGTGTTAGTTGATGCATTGGTCGAGAACAATGCGTTAGAATTACTCGTTCAGCTTCTAGGAAAATTATCCGATTCCGATCCCGACGAGTCCGCCGCCATTTACAGTATACTCGCGACTATTGAGAATTTCATTGAAGTGAAAACCTCGGTGGCTGAGCTAGTATGCGAAAGGACGAAGTTAATGAAGTGGTTATTGACAAGGATAAAAGTTAGAGAATTTGATGGAAACAAGCAGTATGCATCGGAGATTTTGGCGATTCTGTTGCAGAGCAGCACGGGGAATCAGAAGAGATTAGGGCAATTGAACGGCGTGGATGCGTTGTTACAAGCTGTGGCAATGTATAAATCAAAGGACCCTAAGTCGCCAGATGAGGAGGAGATGGTGGAGAACTTGTTTGACGCGTTGTGCTGTTTGTTAATGCCGTTGGAGAATAAGGAGAGGTTTGTGAAATCTGAAGGAGTAGAATTGATGATCATTATAATGAATCAGAAGAAAATGTGTTATGGGTCGGCTATAAGGGCTTTAGATTTTGCTATGACTAATTATCCTCCAGCATGTGAGAGGTTTGTGGATGTAATGGGGTTAAAGACTGCTTTTCCAGCTTTCATGGGTAAGGCAAGTCAAGTTCCCTTTTTCTCCAAATTTCATTAGATTTGACATCATACTAAATTTACTGAGCTGAATGGTATAAGAGGATTCGTATGGTCAACCACAATTGAGATAGGGCTGAGACATAGTTGATTGACTGACTAATATGTTCATTGGCTTATCTGAACGGATATGGAGGATTCATATAGTAGACCGCAGCTGGTTTAGGATTGAGACATAGTTGATTGCTTTTTGATTGATTGGCTAATTTTTTAATTTTCCGATAAAAATGGATATAAAGGATTCATAGTGGATCCTGATCAGTTTGGGACTGAGATATAGTTGGTTGATTGATTAATTTGTTAATTTTCTTAAAGATTGTCTCGTAAAGAACTCTTGTGGTAGGATTGAAGATGTTGATGAATGGAGTAGAATGTTCTAGTTAAGGATATCTCGTTGTTTGTGGTCTTCCACTTGTCAAGTTGTTACTAAGCTAATTTCTTTATAAAGATTGTTACTAAGCTTTGGTATTTGTTGCATAACATTAATTTGATATCATTTTTATTGTAAAATCAGCAGTTTAACTCATGAGATATAGTAGATAAAAACTAACAGAAAAAAGTATCTCAAGTTCTCCTCAAATGGAAGAGTTTCTATTGCTTTATCTCAATGAGCTTTTAGGATGATGAGGTGTTGTTTACCTTGTTCTATCACTGACTCATATAACTTATTATGCTTAAATGTTTTGACTGCCAGATACCTCTGAGCAAAAAGAACAAGAAACGCTACAAAGAAGAACTGGAAGAGCGTCTTGTATCACTAGTTGCTTCCTTATTTGGTAAGAAGGCTAGTTAACTGGAGATTGATCTATCTGAGAAGACAAATATTTTTCTGTTGTTGATATACTGGAAAGTTTGTATGCCCGCAATTGTGGTAAAAGAAGATCATAGGGTTTGATGTATGCTTTATAACTGGTCTAACCA